GGACATTTTCAGATTTGGAGCTTTGTTTGGAGGTCAAGCTTCTAGCAGGGCTCGGGGCTTCCTCTCAACTTCCCACAAGCCCACGAGAGGCCCTAATGCCCTCCAGCAGGCTGCTAGGCTTCCCTTGGCTGGACAGCAGTCACATAGAGCAAATTCAATTGGCATTCCCCCTGCTTCCCATGGGGAAGCGAGCCACACGTCACACATGCCTCAGCAATTTGTGTCCTTGCGTGCACTGTCCCACCTGGGGACACCCCAGTGTCCTGCTTGCTCCCTGCAGTGTTCCTGGGTCTCCAGGTGTCCTGCCTGCATCAGTACCAGAGCACACAGGGCACCCCCAGCCCCAGCAGGTTGTGAGCCTGGGGCTGGGCCAAGCGTGACAAAGCCTATTTGGGGCACTGGCTGTGGGGCTGCTGGCAGCGTACCAGGCACAGAGCTGGGTGCTGCCAGAACACTGTGTCCTGCCAGCACATTCCTGCCTGAGTCACTGCCGGCTTCTGCCTGGGCAGGTCCATGACCACAGCCCCACAGCAGCCCCACAATGGTGTCACACAAGGCTCACACCAGTCCCACTTCACCCGGAGCAGCCCCCTCCGGCCCCATGTGGATATCCACATATAAGCACTCACACCCCGCCCACCCCTACGCCCACAACCTGCACACTCCTCTGCCCTTATACACCTTGTAACCTCCAACTCCCTAAAGCCCCACAAAAACCCTTGCATCCTACAGTCACACTTCTCACATCCTTACACACCCACCCGATACCCCTCCTAACTCCTGTGCCAGGGCTGACCAAGGCATCTGGGCAAGGAGGAGGAGGGAGGCAGAGAAGGGAGGAGGAGGATGGAGGCCTTCTGGGCACCCCCCTGCCAAGGACCAGGACTGAGAGCCAGGGGGAGCCGTGCCTGCCCCCACCCCATCATCACCCCACGGCCTGGGTGGGGGATGGGCCACCAGACGCCCAGGTTCCTGGAAGGGGCTCACGTGACTTCCCCATATGCTATTAGCAGCCCTTGTTGCTGGGCAGAGTTTTGGCAAGCAGGCCAGAACCCAAGGGTGCACCCCGACACTCAGCCCTGGCACCCTGAGCGGGGCCCGACTGCTGGGCTTAGCCAGGGAAAGGGATGGGAGTGTACCAAGGCCAGCACCCCTTCACTGGCAACCACGACACAC